ACTTGGAGCTTCCCATAATAAAGACCGGTCACTGCTGCTCTCTATCCTTGTGCAGGGTGACTGGTCTTGTCTCCGCCCCTCCTGTAATAAAGAACACTCACTGCTGCTCTCTCCTTGTGCAGGGTGACTGGTCTTGTCTCCGCCCCTCCTGTAATAAAGAACACTCACTGCTGCTCTCTCCTTGTGCAGGGTGACTGGTCTTGTCTCCGCCCCTCCTGTAATAAAGAACACTCACTGCTGCTCTCTCCTTGTGCAGGGTGACTGGTCTTGTCTCCGCCCCTCCTGTAATAAAGAACACTCACTGCTGCTCTCTCCTTGTGCAGGGTGACTGGTCTTGTCTCCGCCCCCTCCTGTAATAAAGACAGATCACTGCTGCTCTATATCCTTGTGCAAGATGACTGGTCTGGCCTCCGCCCCCCTCCTGTAATAAAGACCAGTCACTGCTGCTCTTTCTCTACGAGCAGGGTGACTGGTCATGTCTCCGCCTCCTCCTGTAATAAAGCCGGCTGCCGGCTCTACAATTATGAACAGAGTCCAGGACACAAAAAGCCACCGGGAATCTGTTTTAACCCCTTACGAGTCGTGAAGGGGTTAAGGTAGAACTTGGAAAATCATCCACGGACAAGGGTGGGGGGGTAGGGGGTCATCGGAGCCATCTGTCATCCACACATAATGCCATGTTAACACCCTTAACCTGGAAGTGTGATTACAATGCACTCCTTCAGCCATGTAACTTGAACAACTAATACTTGTCCCAGATTTCATGGCACCGCGGTGACTGGATTAGGTGAATAGAGCAGGCCGGTTTTTACAAACTTTCATTATTCAGGACAATGTGCTTCTAAACCCAAGAAATGTCATATATTGTAGAGTACCAGGTCCTCGGGTGCGGTGGCTGCATTGCTTTTTGTTTCACCTGCTGATCCTGCCAGTCACACACTTCCTGTCCCGGGGTGACAATGCTCACTCACTGTATCTGTGGAGCAGCAACATTGTCACCCTGAGCTACTTGTTCCTCATCTGGACTACAGAACTCCCCCGTCACCCTGAGCTACTTGTTCCTCATCTGGACTACAGAACTCCCCCGTCACCCTGAGCTACTTGTTCCTCATCTGGACTACAGAACTCCCCCGTCACCCTGAGCTACTTGTTCCTCATCTGGACTACAGAACTCCCCCCTATCACACCCTTTACATGGGGGATGTCTTTCTATCATTTACAGAGGACTTATAACACTGCTTGAGATTTCAGTGAAGCAGAGGAAGAGTGTTCAGGAAGTCACAAGCTCTGGCGGGATTAAGTGATCATCTTTTGCGTTTAAATTAGAACTCCAAGCAAATGTTTTAATTAACCCTTGCAGCGGGGCTACCCCGTACTGAAAGGGTTAGCTGCTCGTTTTAGTGTAGGGAGGAAAATAATACATTTATACTCATCCGATCTTCTGAGCCGGACTGCTGTGACTGCAGTGCTCACTCCTGCCTGTCTCCTCATACAGAGCTGCAATGGTGTATAGAACGTCATGACTCAGGGACCTTAGACCGATGCAGCGGAGGGGGAGCGAGGCTGGAATGACTGGTCTAAGAGCAAGCTGTCCCGCAGAATCAGGCGAGTATAACAACTTTTTTATCTTCCTTCCTAAACCAAAATGAACAGTTAAAGGGTTATTAAAGGAGAACTATGAGGGGGGGAGGGGGGTGCTTTTCACTCACCTTATAGTTCTAGCCGACCTGTGACAATCAGACTGTCACAGGTCGGCTCAGTAGATCGGGAGGTGTGCGAACACATACCGGCGTTCGCTCACCTCTCGATCCTGTCACGGCTCTCTGCCGTGACAGGGGAGGGGCTGGATTCTCCCCTCCAGCGCTGACTGGCGGAACGGACGGGGGAGGGGGTGGGTACAGCTGGCTCTGCCTCTAGATAGGCAGAGCCAGCTGTCACTCACGTAGCTGGGCGGATCTCGACGTCGATGTCGGGATCCGCTCCGGCTGCGGCGTCTCAGTATACCGCGAGCAGTAGCTCCCTATATACTGAGCCTAGGGTGACGGGAGGACGCTAGTTTGTGTCCTCCCGTTACCCTAAGGAGAACTATGGGGAAAAACCCTGACCCCATAGTTCTCCTTTAAACCCTTGCATGTTTTTGCATATATATGAGGCAAGCAAGCAGTAGATACATGCAAAACGATTAAAAAAAAAAAACCACGTTTTCAAAGGGTTAATACTTACCCGTGTCTCCGCCGCGCGCTCCCGTCCGAACATCTGAAAATGTATCGGGCGGCCACAGAGGAACTTGGGGCGGGCGCATGCGCAGTTCAGATGTTCGGCCGGGAGACGAGGAGAGACACAAGGTAAATCTAGGGAGCGGCGTGCACCCGCACAGACATGGTGGGACATGAGAGACGAGGAGGACAGAGGAGTCGGCGCTGGATCGGAGACCCGCACCCAGCGCTGGAGGGACAGCTGAAAAGGACAGTAAAGAAGAAGATGATCAGATTAAGAGACACCATTTAAGGTAAGTTCCTACAGGAGGATTGAGAAAGGGGGAAAAAAAAGTTTGACTTTAAAGGAGAACTATGGGGTCAGGGCTTCTCCCCATAGTTCTCCAGAGGGTAACGGGAGGACACAAACTACCGTCCTCCCGTCACCCAAAGCTCAGTATACCGCGAGCTACAGAGGCAGAGCCAGCTGTGCCCACCCTGTCCGTTCCGCCAGTCAGCGTTGGAGGATCGGACAGGGAGGGGGGGGAATCCCTGCAGGGAGCTGTGAGTGACAGTCACGGCTCTCTGCAGGGATAGATCGAGAAGGGAGCGACGGTATGTGTTCGCTCACTTCCCGATCTACTGAGCCGACCTGTGACAGTTTCATTGTCACAGGTCGGCTCAGATTATGAGGCTGAGTGAAAATCACTCACCTCATAATTCTTCTTTAAAAGGAGAACTATGAGGCGAGTGCTTTTCACTCACCTCATAGTTCTAGCCGACCTGTGACAATGAGAGACTGTCACAGGTCGGCTCAGTAGATCAGGAGGTGAGCGAACACATGCCGGTGTTGGCTCACTTCTCGATCCTGTCATGGCTCACTGCCGTGACAGGGGAGGGGCTGGATTCCCCTCTCCCCGCTCCGATCTGCCAGCGCTGACTGGTGGAACGGACGGGGGAGGGGGCGGGCACAGCTGTCTCTGCCTCTAGATAGGCAGAGCCAGCTGTCACTCACGCAGCTGGGCGGATCTCGACATCGATGTCGGGATCCGCTTCAGCTGCGGCGTCACCCTAAGCTAGCGGTATACTGAGCTTAGGGTGACGGGAGGACGCTAGTTTGTGTCCTCCCGTTACCCTAAGGAGAACTAGGGGGAAAAGCCCTAACCCCATAGTTCTCCTTTAAAGTCACTTTAACCCTTGCAGTGCGAGGAATCCAACACACTGGGAAGTGTCGGGACAGGAAGAGAACAGCATCTCTTGTAATAATAGCATCTCTTGTAATAATAGCATCTCTTGGTCTAATAGGGAGTATGACGATTTCCTTAAAATCCAGATGTTTACTTCTGATGAACACTGATGGCTTAAAGTGACATTAAAGTTAAAAAAAATCCCCTCCCCCCATGTAAATGTTAGCACTTACCTTAAATGATGTCTCTTATTCTGATCTTTCCCCATGTTTTCATGTGTCCCTCCAGCGGTGTCTGCAGGCGGGGGCACGCGTCCATAAAACTTACCTTGCGTCTCTGCTCGTCTCCCGGCCGAGAATCGGAACTGCGCATGCGCCCGCCCCAAGATCCTTTGCGGCCGTACGATCACTTCCTGATAGCGATAACGAGGTAAGTTTAAAACTAGTTAAAGCGTTTTTTTTTTTTTAAACTTCTTGCCTATATCTACTGCTTGCTAGCAGTAGATATAGGCAAAAAAAACGGAGGGTGTAGAACCCCTTTAAAAGACCATAGGGGCATGCAGGAACACAACAGCCCAACAGAAGAGAGAAGACTCAACCTCCACGGCCAGCTCATACATGGACTCATTCCTACAAATATGGACCGCCACTTTGGTTTTGACTTCATTTGGAAATGGGACTTTCCTATTTGTACATCTGCTGAGAAGCTGTGAGGGGGTGTGATTGTTTGTATGACCTCCAGGATTGGCTAGGCATGCGTTCTAATTAAGACGCACTGGGCAAACATCACAGTTGGATTGTATGTCTAGTTTATGGATTTGCAACCTTCCATTTGTAACTGGTTGTTACCGTGTTTCCCCGAAAGTAAGACCTACCCTGAAAGTAAGACCTAGCGCTATCTTCAGGGATTTCTGTAATATAAGACCTACCCCGAAAATAAGACCTAGTTCGGTGGTAGGTCTTATATTACAGAAATCCGCTAAGTCTTACTTTCGGGGTAGCTGCACATAAACTGTGTAAAGACCGGCCGCAGCTCCCGCCCCGCCCACACGCCAGCCTGCCGCAGCTCCAG